TGAGATCATGACCTAAGCGAAAGTCGGACGCTTAACCGACTAAGCCACCCAGGCGCCCCTAACATTTATTTATTTTGAGAGACAGAGAGAGCGGGCATGAATGGGGAGGGGCAGAGAGAGAGGGAGACACAGAATCAGAAGCAGGCTCCAGGCTCCGAGCTGTCAGCACAGAGCCCAACACGGGGCTCGAACTCACGGACCGTGAGATCATGACCTGAGCCGAAGTCGGACGCTTAAGTGACTGAGCCACCCAGATGCCCCAGAAGTGTCTTGAATATAGCCTGGCAGGGAGGGGGCGGGGGGCCTGCCATGAGTATCTGATCACGTGTTTGGGTCCATGTATGAGAAGACCTGTAGGATGACTCAGTCCAAAAGAGACACTGCTCAGGCACGTGCACGTGTGGCTCTCCCTAGGCAGGGTGGGTACTCTGTGGACCTTACTTGGTAGCTAAAGTTGTGCTTGCCTGGGGCAGTAGCCACCAGGCACATATTGCTGTTAAAATTAACCAACAGAGAGGCCAAGACCATTCAATAGGGAAAGGATAGCCTTCTGAACAAACACTTCTGGGAAAACTACGTCTCCACTTGCAGAAGAATGAGGTTGGATCCCTACCTCACACCATATGCCAAAATTAACTCAAAATGCATCAAGTTATCTAAATGTAAGAGCTCAAACTGTAAAACATTTACTACACTTGATCTTAGCCAAAAGGCCGAGAAGCTCAAACTGTAAAACATTTAGAGAAAAACAGAGGAGTACAACTTCATGACCTTGATTTAGGCAAAGGATTCTGAGATATGACACCAAAAAAAAAAAAAAAAAAAGCAACGGTAACAACAGAAATAGATAACATGGATCTCATCAAAATTAAAATGTCCGTGCTTCTAAGGACACCATCAAGTAAGTAAAAAGAAAACCTACAAAATGGGAGAAATATTTATAAACCATGTATCTGATAAGAGACTCACACCAAAAATATATAAAGAAGTCTTAGGACTCAATAATAAGAAGACAAAAACCCCAATTTAAAAACGGGCAGGGAGGGGCGCTTGGGTGGCTTAGTTGGTTAAGCGTCCTACTTTCACTTAGGTCATGATCTCGCGGTTCGTGAGTTCGAGCCCCGCGTTGGGCTCTGTGCTGACTGCCAGCTCAGAGCCTGGAGCCTGTTTCAGTCTGTGACTCCCTCTCTCTCTGACCCTCCCCTGCTCACGCTGTCTCTCTCTCTCTCCTAGAAATAAATA